GAGGCGCCCGGCGGCGCGCCCACGAGGCTTCCACCCACAGCAGCCGCCACCAGCTTCATTGGACACCCCCCCCCCACACACACACATGTGCGTGTGCACTGCCACGCACACACACACAGACACGGCCGCCACCCGGCAACCCACCACGTAGTACAGGGCATGCTCCTGCCCGATGCCCTGCTCCTTGAGGAAAGAAAACACGTCCCCGGGGTCAGGCAGGCAGTCGGCCTGTGGGCAGGGAGGCATCAAGGGGGCAGCAGGGTCGGGGCCGAGGCGTGTCTGTGGGAGCAGAGTGAGCTGGCAGCCTGCGGGGCTGCGCAGGCGGGGATGGTGCCGGCGGGGCCGGAGGCACAGCCAAGCACGCCGCTGAGCCCTCCTTTCACTCCAGAAGCCTCCACCAGACGGAGCGGCGCACCCAGCCTTCTGCAGTCCCTGCCAGACAGTATCCCAACTCACATACTGGATCCAGACCCGCAGGTACCGGATGTCTTGCTTGTACCGCTCTTCCCCCTGCAGCGCTGCGGTGCACCGCTCCAGCAGCGGCAGCAGCTCCGCCTTGTGTCCCCCCGCGCTAAACGTGTCCTGCGTCCAGCGGATGAACCTGCAGTGGCGGCCGGCAAGGAGGAGAGGGATGCAGGGGTGTTGCATGCAACGGGGTGTGGCACCAGCAGGCAGCATGGTGGGCCGTGCTGGCAACACGCAGGGCCGAGGGGAGAGGTGTGTGGGAACGCAACGGCGGCACGGGGGCGGGCATGGGTGCGCAGGGTGGCGGGCACACACAGGAGGATAGGCACAGGCGCGCAGCACCCCAACGGGCTGCCCAGGATCAGCCAGTAACGGCACCGCAGGCAGCCGGGCACGCCGGGCAGGCAGGCTGCCGCCAGCTGTCGGCACCTGAGCCAGACCTCCAACGGATCACTGCCGCTGTAGGCTGCCAGCTCCTCCCAAAACGCCCTGCAGGCGGCAGGCATTATTGGCCGGGGCGTTGGGCGGCTCGCCCCAAGTGCAGCCAAAGCGTGCAAAAGGCAGAGAGGGCAGCATGGCTGGTCCGGAAGCGGCCGCGCGCCCCAGCCACCCACCGCCGCCGCCCCTCAATCGCCTGGGTGCGCAGCTCTGCGGTGCTGTCCCGCAACGCGGCCGCCTTGCGGCCGGTCTTCAAGGGCTGGAAATTCTCCTTGGAGGCCTCCCAGTCCGGCTCCGCGGCGGGGGCCGCCATGGCCGTCTGTTGGGCGTTGGTCACCGGCGCGCTGCACGCCTGCCGCAGGTCTCAAAACATCAAGGCCGAGCTGGTTAGCGAGCCGAGACACTTGGGACGCCAATAAATGCCGCGGAAGCACTGGCTGTCGGCCTCCTGCTGCGCTCTGTGGGCCAGCACGGCAAGTCCAGTTCCTCAGAATGCCTGTGCTGCCCAGAATCGAACCAATTCGTGGTTAAGGGGTCGAACAGGCGGGGGTCACGCTGCACCGCGGTGCACCGCCGTGCTGCCGCCACCACCGCCGTGGCGGCCACCAGCGCAGACTGTCCTGCTCCACCATGCGCCCTTGTTGGCGCAGATTGGTTGTAAGTGGGGCGCAGCCATCATCAAGTCAGTAAGGGCGGAGATGTGGCTCTACAAGGTCAAGGGGGTGCAGAACCAAGCGCCGCCACGCTGGTCTGGCGCCAGTTCGGTGGTTTGCTGGGTAGATGCATGCTGCCTGCCTGCCCCCCTGTGCCTGCCTGGTGGCCATGACTGCAGCAGGGAAAACACAGCAAGCATCACCAAGCTGCCGCCCCGCTGGCGGCGCCTTGCCACCTCGTCCTGGCAAAGCCCCATCTGCGGCAGGACGTTTGATCCCCGGTCGCGGAACTTCAAAGTGCTGCAGCAGCGCGCAGACATGCCCTGATCACCCCCGCCCAATCGATCGGCCCTCGCTCCCGCTACTCCGGCCCCCAGCCATGGCGGAGGACGGCTACGACGAGTACGAGGAGTGGCAGCTGGTGGGCGATGCCTACTACTCCCGCCGCGAGCTGTACAGGCTCGATTGGGGCGGCGGCGGCAGCGGCGGCGGCGGCTCCTTTGACCTCGCCTTCATGCGGTGCGCAGCACCGCTGCCCAGCCGCTGGCCTGCAACGAGACGAGCTGTTCCATGTGGTGCAGCACGCCCGCAGCCAGCTGCCGCCGCTCCTGGCCCTCCTGCCGCGCACCGCCACCTTCCTGACACCCCACCTGCGCCGCCCGCCCATCATCCCACTTCGCAGCGTGTTCCCCGCGCCCGCGGGCGGCCCCATCGCCGCGCTGCGGGACGACTCCAAGCTGGTGCTGTATGTGGGCGGCTTCACCAAGCCGGATGTGCAGGTTTTCAGCGGGGCGGGGGCGCCGCTGGGGCGCGTGCTCTGGGACGGCGGCCACGTGCTGGCCGCGGGGTGGACCGCAGGGGAGCAGCTGCTGGTGCTGGAGGCAGGGGCCAAGGTGCGGCTCGCTGTTTGGGTCGATGTGTGTGTGTGTGTGTGTGTGCATGTGATGCGTGAGCATGCATGTGCGCTTGTTGCGGCGGCCTGCGCGCTTGCTGGCGCCCCGCCGGCCATGAGGAGGCATGGCCCCCTGCGGTTGTGCGCCAGGCCGGCCCTTCACTCCTGCCATGCCATGCCATGCCACGCCCTGCCCTGCCCTGCCCTTGCCGCCGCCGCCGCCCTTGGCAGGTGCACATGTTCAGCGTGCGAGGCGAGCGCCTGCCCCGCCATCTCTCCCTGGGCGCCGAGTGCGAGGAGGAGGGCGGGGTGGAGGCGGCGGTGTTGTTCCGGGACGGACTGGCGCTGCTGACGCCCGCGGGGCACCTCTGGTGGGCGGCCGGGGGCTGGGGCTGGGGCTGGGGTGCGTTCCGCTGGTGTTGGCCTGGGGCCGCCGGCCGTGTTCCCGCCCGCCCCCACAACCCTGTCTGTGTCCCCTCAACCTGCCCCGCCCCTGCCGCTCCCTGCCACCCCCATCCCCGCCGCCGGCAGGTGCGTGCCCGACGTGCACGAGCCGCGCCTGCAGCGCTTCCCAGACCCCGCCCCCGGCCTGGGCGGCGGCGGCTCGGGAGTACACTGCATGGCGGTCATACCCCCCTCCGCCTCGTCCTCGGGAGCCCTGGAGGTGAGGGTGGCCAGCGGCTGGGGTAGCCGCCAGGCCTGCCTGTGCCGCCAGGCGCAGCCGCAGCTGCAGCTCCTTTACCCCGCCGGCCAGCAGCCAGCCTCGCTGAGCAGGCGGCCCCAGGGCGCCGCTCCTGCACGCATGCCAGCGCTTGGTCTTGGCCACCCGCTGCAGCAGCGCCCGTGCGGCAGAGCCCGCCGCTTCGGCGGGGCCCGGGCCCTGGCTCGCAGGAGCGCAAGCAGCCGCCTGCCTGCCTGCGCCTGCCCACTGTTTTTTTTTCGCGATGCATCCATCGTATCCTATCATATGGCATCATATCGGCATGCAGTTGATAGCAGCGGTGGAGGACACTGTGAGGGTGATAGATGCCAACGAGGCGCTGCCCACCCCGGTGTTCGAGGGGCCCATCCTGAGGTGGGCGGGAGGCCGGCAGTCACTGCGGTGGTGGCGGCGCGGTGTTGGCGCATATGTGTGTGTATGTGTGGTGTGGGGGAGAGTGGAGGGTGCATGCCTGGCGCTGGCAGTCCCCAGCAGGGCAGAAGGGCCGTGGCCTGGTTACCCTAGTGGTGGGCCTCCAGCGGATGTTGTGCCCGCAGGCTGGCTCGAGTGCGCTCTTTCTTCCTTCCTCCCTGTCCTTGTCGTTCCCGCAGGCTGGCGGTGAGTCCGTGCGGCAAGTTTGTGGTGGGGTACGGCCAGGACGGGACCATCCACGTGTGGAGCTCAGGTGGGCCACGGTACCGCTGCCTACCGCTTCTTCCCGAATCGTACATGTCAGAGTGCCCTCTGGCTTCCGACCGCACTCGACGCACACCTCCACGCCGCCACCACACCTCCTGCATCACCCGCTGCCACCATGTGATGCTGTGCTGTGCTGTTCCGTGCCGCGTGGCTACCCTGCCGTGCTGTGCCGGGTTGCCTCCCCGCCGCAGACCTGTCTGAGGTGATGACGCGCGTGGGGCTGGCAGAGACGGAGCTGGACCTTGTGGACTCGCTGGGGGTGAGCAGGAAGCTGTACCGTACCGTACCACCAGCAGCACCACTGTGCCAGACGGTACCGGGCGCCACCACCTGGTGCCGCGCACCAGCCTGGAGTTCCCGCCCTCCCGCACTCCCTCGCACCGCACCCTGCCCGGCGCTGCCGATGCCCCCGGCTGCTCCGCGCCTCTTGCCTGCCACCGCCACTGCCGCCCCCGCTGCACGCAGGCAGACGCTGTGCCCGACACGCTGCCAGACCAGCTGGTGTGGTGCGGCAGCGACGCGGTGCTGCTCTTCTGGGAGGTGAGTGGGGCTTGTTGCCTGCTGCTGGCGCAGTGCCTTCGTCCCTTTTGAATTGCCTGTCAAGGGCAGGGCGCCCTGGCCGGCGCCTGGTGCTGCTCGTTGCCGCTACGGGCAGCTGCTTCCTGGCTGGCACCGGTACCTGCCGATGCTGCAACCGCGGCTGCTGTCTGCAGGGCCTGGGCGCGCTGCTGGTTCCGCTGGAGGGCGGCTGGCGGTGGTGGGATGTGGGCGGCGGCGGCGCCGCGGCCTTTGCCACTGAAGTGGACGGTGAGGCGGCTGCAGCGAGCAGGCGGCACGCGCCCTCGCCAGCCGCCAGCCTGGCATGCCCCTCTTGCCCGCACGCCTGCCTGCTGCCTGCCTGGTCCAAACAACTGAAAACGTCCATCCCCACACCCTTCACTCCCTCGCTCCTCCCCGCACCCACACTCATACCCATGCACACGTCGCCGCCGCCATCCCACCAACCAACCACACCCATCACTCATGCGACCATCATCACATGCATTCATCATGCCAACCCCTTAACAACACACACACACACACACACACATCCTCACACCCCGCTGCAGGCGTGCGCATCATCACCGGCGGCGCCCACCAGCTGCTGCGGCGCGTGCCGCCACCCGCGGCCCGCGTTTTGGAGCTGGGATCCACCCACCCGGGGGCGCTTCTCTACGACGCACGGCGGCTGTTTGATGCGCAGGACGCGCGCGCCACGGGTGCGGCGGCGGCGGGCGGGTGTCTGGCTGCGGGGTTGTGGCTGTGTGTGTGTGCGTGTGTGTGTGGATGTGAAGATGGGTGGGTGGGTGTTGTTGAAGTATGTGGGACTGTGAGGGCACATTGCCTGCCTGCTGTGTGAGGATCCCCGCTGCTTGCCCTTGCTGCTCGCC